ATACTCATTTTACAGATAAGGAAATAGGGACCAAGAAGGGAGAAAATAAACAAGCATTTATTAAGCACCTACTGTGTGTCAGGCACTGTGCTTAACACTTTACAAATATTATCTCATTTGAGCCTCACAATAACCCTAGAAAGTAGGTGTTATCATTAACCCCATTTTATAGCTTAGGAAATTGAGGTGGACAGAAGTAAAGTGAAGTGACTTGCCCAGCATCACACAGCAAGTGAGAGTCTAAGGACACATCTGAACTCAGGTCTTCCTGACTCCAGACCTGGTGGCCTAGACACTACACTCTAGCATCCAGAGAGGGAAAAGGATTTTCCCAAAGTCACAAACCAATGGGACAAAGAGGACTAAAACCCAGATCCCCCAGCTCCCAGGTTAGCATTCTGTACAACACACTGCACTAATCTATTAAGTAATTCTAGGCAAATCCCTTTTCCTCTGAGCCTTGGTTTCCCCAAGTTCAAGATGAGGGGTGTGGACTAGATTAGATGGTCCCCAATGTGTCTTCCAGTTCCTTTTCTACTTGACTTTTTTGAGGGAAGAAAGGAATCCATTTCTCTAAGTCATGACTCTGACAAAGCTAGGAACTGTGCTCTTCATATGGGTTAACCAACCATTTCTGAGAGTTTTCATTAGTGTGCATGTCCCATTAGCTAATGAGGAAGAAATGGTCATGCAGACTTGGTCACTGCAATCAGATAACCTGGCTTGAAGTTAACCATCACTGTCCCTATCATCAGCCTGCTGTTGTCCTTATTTTAGATTTTATGTTGAGGATAATTATGAAATGCTTAGCCTAGAAATTAATATTATGAGCACTATGTTCTACTCTGAATCTAAATATAACCTTTCATATTGAAAGCCCTGCTAAATCCCCTGGATGGAACGAACCCATCCAGCTCCCAGTAATTTACTATCTGTGTGTACCTGCCACTCTTTAGTGTTCACCTGTTCATGGGACTGTAAATTACTTGCTGAGGATTTGTGGTAAAATTACTGCCTGTGGTCTGTTTTAGGAGCTTTTACGTGCGATGCTATTGTTTGGGGCTTTGCAAGACTAACCTGGGTAGTGCCAGCCCCAACTCAGCTCAGCAGGAATTCAAAGCAAGCAAGCCCAACTGCCTGGGCTTTTGTAAGTAAGAGATATGTAGAGAGAATTCTCTAACTCTACACTCAGGGAAATACTGTCTAACATCTCCATCAGAATAGAACTTGGAAGGCTTTGGTTGCAAAGGAACACCACAAAACTGGGATATAACTGAAAGTCCAAGACTCAGAACCACACTTCTCTGCATTTAGCCCTCAATCCTATACACATAAATGCCCAAATTTAGTAGTAGCTCAAAGTTCAGAACTATATAACACAACCCCAGTTATCAGTGAAAACTGGCTTCCTAATCTGGATATTTCAGTACAGGGGATGGTTTCCTCCTGTATTATTTAGGTAATTGTGTTTGTGTTACTACTAAGAAAAAAAAGGAATCCAATGGATCTCTAAAATCCTTTCTATCTGTGATAGTCTATTATGTTCTATGATTTCTTCCAGTCCTGACATTCTTTAATTCCATGCTTTTTGTTCTGGTCATTTTGGCCTCCTTTCTTCCTTTGAACCAAGCAGTACAAGGTCACAGGCTAAGTTACACTGCTTTTAAAAGTTAAACATTTACCAAGCCTTTTCTTTTAGCTCTCCTTTACACTAGAGGGGGCCTCCCTCCACTCCTTCCCCTTCTGACCTCCCTTTTCCGAAGGCACGGAGCCATAACAGCATTTATAGCAAAGTTTTTCATTAAAAAAAAAAAAAAAAGACATTCCATTGAGCACCACAGAAGCAGAACTGGGTTTTCAGGGGAGACACATGAGAGACAGGCAGATGTAAGAGCAACACCAGTGGGAACTGACCAAATGAGTAAATTTTATCTAACTGGAAAACTATAGAAGTTCTAAAGACTGGAGATCCCACTCAGTGGAAAGCTAAAATAATTGACAGCAAAACAAAATGAATTTCTAGGAAGTGTGGACATACCACTAAGTTCTCAACAACCTTGCAGGAATTTACAATGTTACATACTCCAGAGCTCAAAGGAGCATTAGGGTCCAAAATCATCTACTCCAATCCATACCCAAGTCCTCTCTGCAACTCCCTTATTTGACCAATAAGGAAACTGAGTTTCAGAACGAAGCCATTTGCACAAAGTCACATAACTACTAAATGCTAAAGTCAGGTCTGAACCTAAGTCTTCTGAATTCCACTATAGATCTTTGGTCCCTATGCCACACTGGCTCTCCAAATTAGTAGTTCAATATTCCTTAGGTAAATTTGTGATAGCCTTCCCAAGGCAAAAACACACTGGTAATTGAAACTTTCAGACAAGACTCTGAAAAAGCCAAACAGAATTTCAATCTTAGACCACATACAACATGACAGGTGATGCTAAAGGACAAATCCAGGGTAGGACCATAGGCTCTAGATGGAGAAGGGGTATCCCTCATTTTACACCTGAAGAAACTGGAAGCCCCTCTGTGACTTGCTTAAAGGTTCCACAAGTCAAAAGCAGTAAAGTCAGGATTTCAATCTAGGTCCTCTCAATTCCAAACCCAAGGCTCTTTCTACTAGCACAATTCAAGAGGGCTTTGTCTTTATTGGTACTTGGCTCTCTCCCTCTCTCCCCCTAAATAAATCTCCATTTTTCTCATCAAAGAGTGAATTAAGGAACTGTAATATGTTTACTGCTTCATCACATTAGGCTCTAAAGAATTTATTATTTTAAGGAGAGACTCTGCAAACTAGCTTCCCTGATAACTGTGTTATTCATGAAGTTTGATTCCCATACAGGTGCACTGAGTGCATATTTTCTACTTCCTTTTAATGGGGGGAGGATGTCCAGTCTCTGGGCTGTCTCAGCCAGGTGGCCACCATTAGTCTCCACGCTGATTCTCAGCTTTTAGAGGAAGAAATGACTAAGACCCAGGATATTCCCATCCTAATTGGGGAGCAAGCATAGTTATGGTATCATAATGGTATTTTTAAAACCACCATAATAGTAACAGCCACAATTATATTTATGTAGCACTTTTTATCCATTATCACATTAGAGCCTCACAAAAGCTCTGTGAGGTGGATACTTTCACCTCCATAATACAGAATAAGAAACTGAGGCAGGACTTATGTACCCAGTTCAAATGGAAGAACCAGGATTAAAGTTGATGCCTAATTCCAACACCACACAATTCCCACATCTCATCTTTTTCTCGCCACCTCCACCTCACATTTTTCTAGTGCTCTAAAGCTGACAAAAAACTTTCCTTAAAATATGACCGTGAGCAGTTCCAGTATTACTGCCCCCGGGTTATAGAAGAGGAGACTGAGGCTAAGAAAGGGGATGCCATGCATTACCCAGTTAGTAAATGCTGGGAGCCAAAACTTCTCCCAGGTCCAAATCCAGCCCTTTCTCCACCACTCCAGGCTGCCCCCTAACGGGCAGGCTAACAACGATATGATAGACAGAGCTTTCCAATTTTAACAGTCGTGCTCTTGAGACTTTTCAGCTGTCACTCTCCATCTGTTCAGGTGCTCTTCTGTATATGAGAGGTTACAAAGTAACACTGTTCAACTGTACTTAAAAAAAAAAAGGGTCAGAGTGAAGAATCAAAAAAACGGCCAAGATGAAGAAAGAAGGCTTAGGTAGCCGTTGTCCTTCTCAATATGTGGCCAGTCCATGAAGCCTTTAGAAACCATCCTCAGTTTTCTTATCTGTAAAATGAGGCCCATATTCCTCATACTACCTACCTACCTCACAGGCTGTAAGAAAAGCACTTGGAAAATCTTTACATAATATAGTTATATGTTATTGCTATTATTATTATTACTGTTGCAATGATGAAATTAAATACAACAAATCTAAACTATATCTTGGGAGTCAAAACTCCCAGGATGCCTGTCACTCATCAACCCTGCAATAATGAAGAAGTCATTTGCCTCTTTTTAAGTCTGTGTTCTCATTTGCAAAATGAGAATAGTAATACCTACAATACCATCTACCCTACAATGCTGCCGGGAGGACTCAATGGAAACATCAGTAAAGCATTCTGTAAAACTTCAAGTAGAGTGGAACATCACATTTGGAGTCTGGTTCAAATCCAGGCTTGTACAAATTCAAGCAAGTTCTTTCCCTAATGTGGGTGGGCCTCAGATGCCTCCTCTGTAAAGTGAGGGGGCTCGACTGGATGATGTCAAAGGTTCCTTCCAGCCCTAAATCCTAAATGCTATAGAAATATTAGCTATCAACATTAATTGTGGGGGCAGCTAGGTGGCGCAGTGGAGAGAGCACCAGCTCTGGATTCAGGAGAATCTGAGTTCAAATCAGGCCTCAGACATGTAACACTTGCCAGCTGTGTGACCCTGGGCAAGTCACTTAACACCATTGCCAAGACCGCCCCCCCCCCCCCAAAAAGCACTTTAATTGTGGACGATAAGCATAACTGGACGAAAACCTGTGTAGCCAGTCAATCAGCATTTATTTAAGTGCCTACTATGTGCCAGGCCCTGTGTTAAGTGCTGGGGAATACAAGGAAAGACAAAGGGCAATCCCTGCTCTCAAGGAGCTCAGTCTAATGAGGAAGACAACATGCAAACAGCTACGCACAGAAAAGATGAATGTGAAATATTCAACAGAGAGAGGCACTAGAATGAAGAGGAATTAGGAAAGGCTTTTGGGAGAAGGAAGCCAAAGAAACCTGGAGGCCTCTATTGTCAGCCCAGCTTTAGATACCAACAACCAGTTAGCTGCGTGACCTTGGGCTAGTTACTTCCTCTCCGTGGGCCATGAGTCTTTTCTGTCAAGTGAAGGGCTGAATGAGATGTGGCTCATGGTCCCTTTTGCAGGGCTGCCTAACTCGACAGGCAGGGCAGGGCAGTAGGAAGGAAGAATGCGGGTTTATACTGCTCAGCAGAGACTTGGCTTCCAGTCCTGGCTCTGACAACTTACTTGTGTGACCTTGGGGAAGTCACTTAATCTCTCTGAGCCTCAGCGTCATCAGCTTCCCCATCTGTAAAACAGAGATGACATAAGACTTGCAGCGTGTACCTCATGGGTTTATTGTGAAGGAAGCACCCTTTCAATGTGAGGCTTGTGAAAAAGGTTTTGACTCCTGAATCTGTATCAACGTCACTACTGGAGACATCGAGAAAGCTCTTGTGTTGTGCCCTTTGAGTGCTTTAATTCAATCTCTGGATGGGTGAGGGTAAACAGCAATAGTATTCTCCTAACAGCAGGAGCAAAGTCCAAATGCCAGAATGTTTCCAAAGAGAACAGGGCTCCCTCTCCTCTTGTTTTAGAAGACTGCTCTTTCCAAGCTAACCCATCCCATTTGACCCAAAGGGTTTTAATTCACAGAGAGGCCCATGCAAGTCTCACCAAGACTCATGCAGGCCAAGAACAGTTCTTTCCAGCCAAGGAAAGGAGGCATCTGAGCTGACCAGACTTTATGGGAAGTGGCCTAATAGGACAGGAAGTAAAACACATCATAAACCACCCTCCCACCTCTGACCCCTGGGAACAAATAACAAAAATTCTTTTTTAAAATATATCCACAGATTTTCACTATATTATCATGAAACATGGTTTTATGAGAGGAAGAATTTGGGAGAATACACAGATCCTAAAGAGAAACCGACTTTAAAAGGTTCATTTCCCCATTAACCAAAGAAATGACAGCTAATGTATCCTAAGTTTGGAACTTGGATCAGCTCAGCTCATAACTACAGTGACTGAAATGGAGGTAAACAAAAAAGCCCAGAGTTTACATTTAAAATTGGTCTGAATATAGAAAACATGACTTCTACCTAAAATTAATACCTTCAACCACTGAAACATAAGGAGATCTGTCATTGCAAACCTCAACAAAATAACTTATCCCATTTCTGCAGTGCTTAAAGGTTTATAAAGCGCTTTCTTCACAACCACTCTGTGAAAAACTCCTCCCTTACAGATGAGGAAACTGAGGTTTATAATACACCTAATCAAGATCAAACATCATTGAACCCAATCCCTTCTATTCCCAGGATCATTAGAGTTGGAAGGTCCTTAGAAGGCATTTGGTAGAATCCTCTCTTTTGAAACAAGAGAAGACTGAGGCCCAGAGAGGAGAAGAAACTTGCCCAAGGTCCCCTAAGTAGTAACTAAGTGGCAAAGCCAATGAGGGACAAACTCAAGGAGACTGTCCTCTGACTCCAAACTCTTTCTACTACACTACACTGGCCTCACTTTTTTCAAGGGCAGATCAGTATGGAATTGAGTCCTGATTCAAGGGGAAACTGCTTACATAGTATGTAGTCTTTGCAAACACAAATTAAAAGGATGAGGAAACATCTGTATAAACAGGAGTGAAAAATATATTGTCTCTGCTCTCTTTCCAGTGGCAAAGTGTAGGAATTAGTTAATTAAAAAAAAAAAAGGAGATCCCAATTCTAATAAGCTTTTTAAAGAATTCAAATACAATCAGATTTTTCCCTCAATTCCTTGGGAGAGACGCCTAGATCCTGTCACACCTACTGTAATTCCTTTTAACCTTCAATAACTAGGATCTACCTGGCACAGCCAGAGACAGAATCGAACAACAAACTCCTCCACCAATCCAGAGAAGTTTCAACTACTTCGGAGACACTTTCTCTCCTTCTACAAGCTCTGGTTCCCTGTGAGGTCACCTACATGTCTCTGGAAAAATGACTGCCAAGAATGTTGAAAGGGCTCTCTTTCAGAAGGTTTTGATCAAATATAATGGGAAGGATTTTTAGTGACCACAAGGCCCAGATTCTAACTAGTTTCCCTCACAAGACTTATTGAATGTTTTTTGGTGCTTACCTAAACTTTTGGGTCCCGGTAGGATGATTTGTCTAGGCCTCTCCGGATGTCCCCTCCTTCACCTTCACCTTCGACTTCCCTGTACAGTTCTGGACTTCTGCTGGATGGAGTTAGGATAGACCCCACAATTCCAAGGTTCTCATGCTTGCCAGTTAACAACACACTTGCCAGAATCCACAACTGGTTTAAAAATCATAAATACAATTTGGAGTAGCTGGTAACATGCAGATCAGAGACTGCTAAAAGAAAAAAAAAATTAACTTTCAGGTCCTCCCTTGTAAAATCTAATCGTTTCTAAGTGCCTACTTAATTTCCCAGAATGGCCATTTTCTGAAGTGAAGGTAAGCATTCCAACTCACCAGAAGTATTTTCATAAACAAAACTATTCTGAACTCTTAAAATACCATTCAGGGCCAAAACCTCTATAGATTAAGAAGAATGAATCTATGTTAGGCAGTTCACTCAACTATCATAACACAGTTTTAGACTTTCTTTTTAATGGGGGTAGGGAGAGAGAAGTGAGGAGAGACTGAAAGCACAACAATTATCTAACTTAGAATTCTAATTTGAATCTATAATGTATTCCCACAGACCCTTCCATCCAAATATTCCAAGTCCCCTCCATCTCTTTTCATCTTTGATCCAGCTTTTCAATCCAAAGCTGTATCAACAAACTTTGTCCTTCATGCTTTAAACTCTAGCAGCAGTATTTCAAGGTCACTCTTACTAACGTCTGAGGCCTGCTTCCAGCAACTTTGATGGCACTGCTGTTCCAACCAGATGCCCCAAATGCAAACCCAAGTCTTTCTTTCCGGCTAAGTCCTTGACATCAAGGAGGGGGAATGCCCCCACCAGCCCCTGACAATTGCACAGGCCTGCTCCTTTCCTCTCTCTCGGGACTGTCCTTGCTAGTGTTCAGCTTCTTGAACGTGCTCTACTGCAGAAACATTCGAGTGACCTTCATTCCTTATTCGCAAATGAGAAAGAAAACAAAGAATTCCTTATATTTATCAAGTATTTAGTGAATGTTTGAGCAAAGGATGGAAGATTTCATTATCCACAAGAACTAGCTGGTGAGATTTAGCAACTTGCATTAGCTTCACATTCCCTCACAAGCAAAAACTACCAGAATCTGAAAGGACAAGAGGCTGAGCTGCCTAGACCTAACTTTCCAAGTCACTAGAAAAATCATAGAATCTAGTTTGTACTGTATAAAGAATCTGTCCAGAAATGTGTAAAATGGGGGGGGAGAAATGTATCAAATTCAGTTAATGGAGAGACAGCAAAAAAGTATATGTGTCTAGGTGTCAATGTGTATAAAACAGGAAATACTGTCAGATTTACTACTGTCTATAAGAACTAGGGACAGGTGGGTTAAAACAAAGTTATGAAAGAATTTCCCTTGGTGAATTCAGGGCCTTCACCATGACACCCTAAAGCATAAGTGGAAACTCTATTCTTTTTTCCTCCTAATTCAGAACAGCCCCTTCCCAGTTTGAAAACATATAGGCTTGAAGAGCTTCAGGACAGCTCACCTCTGGCAAAAACCCTCTTTGGACAGTCCGGGCTATTCTGTGGTATATGTAAAGCTTCCTCACACTGGAACAAAGGAACATTATTTAGAAAATAGTTCAGCTAAATCTTGAGCCTGGTTTGCCCAAGGCACAGAGTTCAGTGTTTGGCTGCTGTTTCCTGGGGAAATGATTAACCCTTCTTCAGGGACCTGCTCTTCTCCACATTAACTAGGCAAAAAGAAAAAAAAAAAAAGGCACTACCACCCCACCACCCCCATCCCTCCTGAAGGGCATGCAGGAGCTCCACCGAGAAGCCAGGGGCTGGAGGTGCGCCGGGAAGTATGCACGGAATGCAAAGGGGCCATTTTCTGAAACAGTGCAACTTGTCTACACTCGGCGAGGCCAAAACAGTTTCGATCATTTCAACAGAAAACAAAGAAGGAAACTTACCGGGAACTGCATTAATTTTACATGGAGCTATTTATATCTCTCCTCGGACAGGGAGAAATTAAGTCACTGCTAGCCCTCCCCCCCAAGGACGGAGGAAACAAAAGGCGTAGGAGATGCCGAGCCGGGAAGGTCCACTCCGGGGCGAGGGCGAACCGCGGCCCCCCCACCAAACTATTCGCCATTTTTCTTTGTCTTTCAGCTGACCCCTGCCTCAGTGAAAAACTCCGAGGCGGCCTCCGCCGGAGCCCTGCAGCCTCCTTCCACTTTAACAGGCAAAGGCATTCAATCTATCCTGCTATTTGACACCGAGCCTCGCCTCCGGCCGCCTCATTGGCCGCGCCGCCCTCTCGGCGACGGCCGCGCCGCCGCCATTGGCTCCTGCGCGTCATCAGGGCCCTCCTTCGGACACTTCCTGTTTTAAAGTTACCTTGAGAAGCAGAGCAGGGGTCAGTGGCGGGGGCCGTGGCCGAGCGGCCCCCGGCGGCGCCGCGGGGCGGCTGGCCGAGTCGCCCGGCACCGGCACCGCAGCCCCGGGCGCGGCCCCGAGGGGCGACACAGGCCGCGGCAGGGCTTTTCTCGTAATTATACAGCGGGGTGGGTACCTCACCCAGCCCGGGCGCTGCTCATTGGCCGTCAGAGTTCCATTTAAAAAAATTGAAGATAATTTCGCTGCCTCTGATTGGCTGCCAAAGACGTCTGCATGACAGCATTACAATCTCCTCGGGTAGTTTATACAAGAAGCCAGCAGGCTCACGTCGGAAAGTTACTGTGGGAACTACGCTCGCAGTTTTAACGCCAGGCAGGCGAAGGCAAACTCGAGAGGCAGAGAACCCTCGAGAGCCCCCGCAGAAGCACCGGGCTGCCTCCGGGCCGCCGCCCGCCCGCCCTATGCTATGAGGAGGAAGAGCAGCTATTGGGATGCCCAAAGTCGCTCTACAAAGACCTTCTGGGATTCCCAAAGAGGCAGCGCCTAAAACTTAACATCTAAAATCAGTAAGGAACTGAGACATGTATGCAAGAACACCACCCAATTCTCTTACCGAATTGGTGGTTAATAATAATACTACCGATAGCCAGCATTTACAAAGCGCTTTAAGGTTTATAAAAACCTTTACATGTTAACTCATTTGTCAAAGGATATGAACCAATTTACAAAATAGTACACTGTTGCAAACAAAAAGTATTCAGTCTTACGAGTAATCAAAACAAAATAACCAAAATAATGAAATAAAACAATCAAGACACTAGTCCACATTCATCAAATTGGCAGTAGTAATTAAAAGTGACAAAATTCAGGGTGGAGGGAATTGTAAAGTAACAAACACACTGCTTTAGTAGAATTACAAAGTGATTCAATTTTTTGAGGGCAATTTGGCAGTACACAACAAGAATAAAAATAATAATACTCTGACCCAATAATGAAATTAGTGAGAATATATCCTAACAATGTTATGAAGGGGAAAAAACTGTTGGAAAGACACATGTAGTAACGTTATTTGTAATCATAAAGCTATAAACAACCTAAATGTCCAACAGCTGAACAGCTAAATACACAGCTATATGAAAGAATCACATCTATACCTGAGACAGAATTCCAGATAAAACATACTCAAGTGGTCATCCAACTTCTGCTTAAAGTTCTCCAATAAGGGAAACATGGGCACATTGCACTTTTATATAGTTTTAATTGTTGGGAAGATTTTTTTAGATCCAACCTAAACCTGTCTGTTTGCAAAGTACACCCTGTTGCTCCCTCTGGGGCCAAGCAATTCAATTCAACAGGCCAAAGTACCCACTACATGCCAGGATACAAAAACAAAAAGGAAAAACAGTTCTTAGCTCAAAGAGCATGCATTCTACAAGCTAAATAAATACAAAATATACACACAGCTATTTTGATATTGGTGGAGAGCTGAAGAGGCCTTGTAAGAAGGGAGTGTCTCTGAAGACAGGGATCCCATAAAGGGAGAGATGAAAAAAAAAAATCAGCCTTTACACACTCATGGGGGGCCATCCTCGGCAAAGGAGGCTAGAGGTGACATGTTAAAGCCTAATCCCTATAACAGCCCTTCAAATACTTGAAGACAAGGATCATGATCACCCTAAACCTGCTCTCTAGATTAAACATTTCCAGTTCCAATCCTTCCAACCCTCCAGCCCCTTTTCCAACTCGGTTGCCCTCCTCTGAGCAGTCTAACTTGTTCATGTGCTTCTGTGTGGTCTCATCAGGTCAGAGAACAGTTCAACTTTGTGCCATTAAATAGGATAACTACAAGGACCATAAAGAAATCTGGACTTATATGAAGTAATATGAAAAGAAAATAGAACAAGGACAGCCTGTACACTATTATTATATAAAAGGAAAAATATACACACAAACATAGAGATGGACAAAAGACAGAAACAGAGAGAGTAACTAATAAGTTTGTATGAACACAGTCAAAGACATTCATTTTTTAAGTGTAAACAATTATAAATAAATGTATTAATTGGTTTTGTTCTTGTTTAAAGCACAAATACAAATTATGGTGACCTTAAGATATCACCCTTCCACCTACAAGAATGGCAAAAGGTTTTTTTTTTTTTTTAAATAAAAAGGTCCAAAGGTGGTGGACCATGCGGAAACAGACACAGAAATACACTGTTGGTAGGATCACAGGGTTGTGTAAATATTTTGGATAGCAATACAGCAGTATACACTAAGAATCACAAATCTTTTGACTCAGCGATTCCATTGCTAAGATTATCCTCAAAACATTGTTTAAAAGAAAAAAAGGACCTTTCTGTACAAATATATTCAAAGCTGCTCTATTTGTTACAATAAATAACAAAACTTTATCTAATGACTGAATTATGATGCATTAATATAATCAACATGTCATAAAACTACAACTATGAAACACATGAAGAAATATGGAAAGACCTATATGAAGTAAACAGTAAAATCAGCAGAATCAAAACTGTTTAGAGACTGAGTATAACTATATTTAAAATGAAAAAAGGGAAAGAAAACAGAAAAAGGTCCAGAATTTTAGGATAGGCTTAGAGAGTCACAAAATAAAAGTATCTTGTTTGTTTGTTGGTTGTGAATTCATTTAGTTCTGCCTTGTTAAAAATGGGTGTGTGTGTGTGTGTAAGAATTTTTTTTCATATGTTTTTGTTTTTTGTTGGCAGTTATTGAGTTTATGGGCAGCTATGTGGTTCAGTGGATAAAGTGCTGGGCCTGAAATCAGAAAGATTCATCTTCCTGAGTTCAGATCTGGCCTCAGACATTTACTATCTATGTGACCCTGGACAAGTCACTTAACTCTATTTGCCTCAGTTTCCTCATCTGTAAAATACGCTGGAGAAGGAAACAGGAAAACACTCTAGTATCTTTGCCAAGAAAACCCCAAATGAGGTCACAGAGTCAGACACTGAACAACAATATTAAGTTTATAAATTTTTTCAAAAGCTACATACATGCATAATCTTTTTTAAGTATCTGCCCTTATAACTATGAAAGACTTATAAATTGTAGATCAGCATCATGACAAAGGACTTTATATACTCTGAAACACTACCACAAAACTATCGGAGTAGGAATGCTGAAATAATAATATGGTATAGTGGGGAAAAGCACTGGGTTTATTTGGCGCCAAAAGACCTGGTTTGAGTCCTGGCGTCATCAGTTCTGAGCTACAAGACCGTGGCAAACTCCCTTAGCTCACTAAGCTTCACCATCCTCATCTGTAAAATAGGGACTAATGTAAAATATGGATTGAATTAGGTGATATATAAGATCTTCTCTAGCTTGGTCATTCCATGGTTCCTTGTAGGAGGATCAAAAAAGGAAGACAATACAAGGGGAAGGAGCTTCAATAAATGACAGCGCTGCTTTAAGTCCATAGAACAGAACTAAAATCAGGTAAATGCACCAAGAAATGTACATTATATTCTGATGGAATGTGTGTGTGTGTGTGTGTGAAAGAGAGTAATATAAAATACAATTGATTAGTTCTTAAGAAAGCCTACTTAAGACTTTGATTCAGTAAATCCCTTTCTTTCCCCCCCCAAACTTGCAAATGTAAGCAGCAAGACTGGTTTTCAGGAATGATTTGATAGATATACTTCTCTGGCTTGCTTTGAGTGCTCTGAAGCTCAGTGGATTGAGCAGTGTTCTGGAGATGAGATGTGTTTACCCATTTCAGGTATAGTCCCATGCAGTCTATAACTACTCAAGCTTTAGGAGGTGTAAGTATTACCTTTGGCATCTGGGTGATGCCTCAACATGGTTAAAGTTAAGATGCCTAAATTAAACAAAAACCTCTTTCAGCTATACATAATTCCATTAATGCTTCTACAGAACCCTGACATCCCTCTAATAACAGAGGCCATTAATAGCTCCCCAAGCTGCCTCCAATCAAACTATAAATGGTATGTCCTGAGAGTAAAAATGACTGCAGCTGTTTGGCCGTCCCAGTGGTGGTAGGTAAAAGGATAAGTGCAAACTACATTTGCTATTCACTTGGCTGAAAAAGACCAGATCCCTTAGAAAATTTTCTCATTTGTCCTCAGAAAATACCATCCTTAGTCCCTTAAGAGATTAAGGCAGGCATTGAAACAAAGGGCAGCTGATGTAGCTGGTCACTTCACCAACTACTCTTTTGTGTGGTTCCCCTTCCCTTCCCCCCAAAAAACACTTTAACACAATGAAAACCAAATTTTTACTGCCTTATTAAACACTTACTCTGTTATTAAGCATGGAATATAATACTACTTTCTGTAAGAAATGAAGAGATGGCTTTAGAAAAACCCAGGAAAAGTCATTCCCCAATTGATAAATGGTCAAAGGATATGAACAGTCAGTTTTCAGAGGAAGAAATTACAGCTATCCATAGTCATATGAAAAAATGTTCTAAATCACTATTGATTAGAGAAATGCAAATCAAAACGACTCTGAGGTACCACATCACACCTATCAGATTGGCTAACATGACAAAACGGGAAAATGATAAATATTGGAGAAGATGTGGGAAAATTTGGAACACTAATGCATTGCTGGTGGAGTTGTGAATTGATCCAACCATTCTGGAGAGTAATTTGGAACTATGCCCAAAGGCCTATAAAACTGTATATACCCTTTGACCCAGCAATACCACTTCTAGGGCTGTATCCCAAAGAGATCGTAAAAAACAGGAAAAGGATCCACATGCACAAAAATACTTATAGCAGCTCTTTTTGTGGTGGCCAAGAATTGGAAATTGAGGGGATGCCCATCAATTGGGGAATGGCTGAA